GCAATAAAAGTTATATCATCTGCTTTTATTTTTTTATTTTATTGCATAACAGAATACCAAAGAGCGAAAATAAATAAATAAAATAAAATAAACTGGAGCACCACCAATTTACAATATTTCTTTTTATGGCCAATCATTTTCTGTGCTCCTTGTCTTTGATACATTTAAAACTGAATAAAGAAAATATGAGAAAAGTCTTGCTTGAAAGGATAAAGAATTGTGACCTTCATACAATTTAAGTTTAATTCACAAAAACAGAAACTTTTAAGTTTGATGGTKCCTGACGTTTATCATGTTGTTGCATATTGATGYCAGGATAAAAGAGAATAACTGATGTCATGATTATGATGCTTTAAGTTAATCTCAATTATATTTTAACGAAAACCCTTAAACTTCCTAGTTAGGCTTCAGCCACATCTTCATGGTACTCTGTCTTCCTGTCTCTTCAGACCTGTGTACTGGCTGGGTAATGAAACCCTGAGGGTGTCGGCTGCCCTTTTTGCTGAGAACCGTCKGAGATTGTGTCAGGGGTTGAAAGCTAAAGAAGGTTTGGTGCCAAAGTCTGTGGTGGTGCTGCAGGGAGGGGAGCAGAATCAGAGGTACTGCACAGACAGTTAGTTCATTCCTCCATAACCCCTAAACAGTCAATAAGTCTTTGTCATGACAACCTAAGAAAGTTGGACAGGGGGCATTTGTATAAACATAACCTTTGTTGATCTCTGATCCTTTCAGGAGTCTTTCTTTCACTGGGCTTTTGGAGTGACCGAGCCTGACTGCTAYRGAGCCATTGATGTGGACTCTGGGAGATCCATTCTTCCTAAACTGCCTGAAAGCTATGCTACTTGGATGGGAGAGTAAGTACCACTAATCCTCAAAGAGCTGTGTACGCTGCCAACACTCATCAGCTGTGAGGACAAGGATGAAAGCTGTGAATTTAGCCGTCAAGTTCTCAACCAGTCATATTTAATTTATTAAAAGGAATTATTTCAGACATTTTTTTTTTTGCTTTCACCCAAACATCTTACTGACATRTTTGACTGCATTATTCAAAAGGCTGCTCCTGTCACATCACCTTCACACAAAACTACCCAATAAACTGCATTCATAAAACATAAATGTTGCAGTCAGACATACAATTGAAGTTTTGATTAATGTTTATGACTTCTGTGGTTGGCTATTTCTGGAAAGCTAATTTAAATGCTAATTTGTGGGAACAATGTGCCAATTAGAAAATATTATGCATAAACTGTTCCTGATTATGTAAATGTAGCTGAATTTTGCGTGGAATATTGCATTTAAAACATACAGTAGTTAATAGAATAATCTGAAAAATAGATTATATCACAGTTCTTTCCTTCARAAGTATTAGCTATAAACCCAACATTTAACCTGAGCACTAAGTCATGTTTTGGATGCTGTCACCTACTAATCATTAAATGTCTTTACCTGGCACCTGGTTTTCTTTTAACCTGAACTCCAATCTTACTACAGTCTGGCAGCTTGATGAACTATAAAACAGATTGCATTAAGAGCTCCAGTATTTAATGTTTGTGTGACAGCCCTATGGAAAATCAATATATCTAAAAAATAAAATCGTCTTTTTCAGTGTTTCAGTTATACATAAGTCCATAAGTTTAACAAAAACAAAAACCAAAGCACAACAGTAGTCGCTTGACACAAATACACACCAATTTTATGTCTTAAAACAGCAAATACTGATTGTATCATGCATGATTAAGTGAGGTACGTATGTGCTTGTTACAGAGCGGGATGGGAGATGGTCATTTAATTTTAATTAATGTTTCTTTAATATCCTACAGGCTCTGAGAYGACAAATATTTGAAACTGAGCAATTGATATAAATTTGTGTCCTGATGCATCTCAGTAATCCAGAGAGGAGTAAAAGAAGCCATTTTTTGTGAAGAAAGACCGTCCATCATTAAACAGAGGTGGAGGCCTCCGTTTCCAGTTGTCCCCCTCCTACAGTACTGCCATTGCCAGTATCACTCCACCCCCTGTTAACAATAGGTGTTAATTAGGTGTCAGCGATAACCATGTGATGTGAGTATCAGTCACATGGAGGCAGGGCTTAAAAGCCTGAATTTTGCCTGAAACTCTCAGACTGAAGAAGTCTCTTGGAGGAGAGACGAAACGTTTCATTASAGAAGAACCCGTCCAGAAGACCTAYACAATTTTTTTCTTTTTGAWATAAATTTGTGTGATTTGAAAAGATCYGTGTGATTTTTTTCATACATCTGTACACCTGCAAAATAAAGAAGATTTGGTGTAGTTTACGGACGTTGTGTACAACTTGACAAGTATGCTGTTAGCAAAATAACTTATAAACCACTAGATGGATTTTAAAGAAACTCTCAGAAAATTATTATTATTAGCTCTCTTCAAGAAGCCTAATCAAAATGGCTGCCACAGCTAATCTACATAAAACACAATTGTGTACAACTCAGTGGATTGTATAGATATTGAGCAMATATTTGGTGTGATGGTTGCTGAGAGTCATCGACACATTTCCTGAGCTGTTAGAGATTTCACAAGGTCTTTGTTTTGTTATGATTGTCTGTATTGTTTTATTTTAGTTTCTGTCTTGTCATCTGTTTTCTTCCTCCTGTCTGCCTTTGCTCCAGCCCCGCCCACTCTCACCTGCTCCTCGTTTCTCTCCCAGATGTTTCCTGTTTGTGCTCGTTCTGTATTGTCCTGCCCTACCAAGCCTTGTGAATTTTTTTTTTTTTTAAACTGCCCTGACAGCACTATTTGTTTAAATAAATTTTGATTTTTGGTTCTTTTGAAACTGCCTGCATCATGGGTTCATTCCTGCCCGAAAATCATGACGCATTTAAACCTTTCAGATTCAAGGTGGAGGCCACTTTCTAGTTAGTTATTTGCTTTATTTATTATTTCTAATTCAACTAGATATTTGAAGTTCATTTAGAAATGTTTCACAACACCAGCTCTGTCAAAATCACTGGTTCAAACCAAACGTATTTCCTCCGTGCCTTTTTGGAGTCACGTTCTGTCACTCATGGAGATTTTGTTTTTAGTAAAAAGGATAGGAACTATTTTTAAAAACGATTTTGTAAATCTGATGTTAGAGTATAAAACGTGTGTTTGTSTGTTCATTGCACTTAGTTTTATCAGTGATCCTCGTTTTCACCTTGTTGGCAGGATCTTCTCTAAAGAGCACTTCAAGGTGAAACATGACGTTGATGAGGCGCACCACGCCTGTGATGTAAGCATGTTGATACTTTTCATTAAAGCTATTACGTGCACTAAATGAACGTCTGAGTTTGACTCGTGTCCAAAGTCGTTAATGTCCCTGTAATTATTCAGCAACAAACATTTTATGTGCCCTTCTTGGCAGAAATAAATGTTTGTTGTTCCAGATCGTTTGATCAATATGACATTTCCACTCAATCCATGTGCACACTCACACATATAGGCCAGTATGAGTGTTCTCCATCATTATGACGAAATTAGGGTTCAGCTCTGACTGAGCTCAGCTAACAAAAGTCTTGGCTGGCTTTTACTTACAATTAGATTTGCATTCCTAACCTGCAGCATCATTTAAATTGGCCCATTTAGAAAAGTTCACGCATTTTCAGGCTGAGCTAAATTGTCTGTTCTGGGAGTTTTTGGTAAATGTTTATCAGTGTTGTCAGCAGATTCMCGGGAGGGCGATAGAGCAGAGTTACAGCTCCAGAACTCATTTTGGACTACCTGAGTTACATGTTCATATATTCAAAATATTATATCCCCACTATAATGAAGAAACTTTTTGCCAAACAACTGAACTCTGAGAAGGTTAATTAGTCCAACGATCCTCCACTCGTTTTCATTTTTACGCTTTATTCTCATGACTCATTCTTCCAATACTTGCAGTATTTTCACATCTCAGTACCTGTATGACGTGTTAGATATCTTAATTAGTCACCTTTTTTWATCAAGTAGCAGCAGCATCTTAACACTGTAGGATTAAATTAGAAAAGTGGGATATGCGTCACATTCTCCAATACAAGAGCACTTGATAGTGAACAATATTAAGGTGTCAGTGCTGTGTGCAGAAAGACAGAAATATGTTCTCACTGAGAGTTCCAGATGGGATAATAGATGCGTTTACCCAAAAACTGTAAAAAAAACATCTCTCAGGGAGAAATCACATTCCATTCAATCAATCAATCAATCAATCAATCAATCAATCAATCAATCAATCAATCAATCAATCAATCAATCAATCACCTTTATTTAACCAGGTAGAGCCCGTTGAGATCGAGATCTCTTTTACAAGGGTGACCTGGTCAAGTGGTCATCAGCACACATCACATAGTAATTGACAAAGCATTTGCATTGATCAAAAAGAAAATAAGGAAAAAAGAAAACTACAATCACAGTAAGTAGAAGTTGACAGTTCAGAACCATCAGGATAAGACAGAATTCTTTAGGTATTTACAATTTCTGGTAGACTTGAAAAGATTTTTAGGTGAGAACAAATAAAAAGATAAATAAAAACAGACAGACATGGTTTGAGTAGAAACAGTTAAAAGTCGACAGTGACATGTATAATGGATAAGTAATGTTYAGAAACATCTGCAACGGTCAAGTTTCTTGATGACGTTATCTATCACGGTTGACATGAAAGATCTAGGAGGGATGAGTGTTGACAGTTTCAGATCTGTCTGTAAGTTGTTCCAGGCTGAGGGGGCTGCGAAGCTGAATGCTCTTTTTCCCAGTTCACTTCTGACAGGAGGAACTGACAGGAGAGTTTTTTCAATAGATACACGACAGTTTTYAATAAACAAATGCTGAGCTTTTTTTTATTGTTGTTCTTCATTCAGGTCCTGTGGTTTCCTCCTACATACCAAAAACATGCATGTTAGGTTAAATGGCCTGAACTTACACTACAGTCACTCACCTGTTTATACACACATTCACACACTAATTTTATGTGTAAAATTGTATGTATTTGAATGTGTTGATTTACTTTTTAAGCTGGTCTATTTTTATGGAGAGTTCACTGCATCCTATTTTTCCATTCAGGGGATTAGGACACCCCGCCCACCACACACACACTCACACACACACACACACACCACCACCACCACCACCACCAACAACAACAACAACAACAACAACAACAACAACAACAACAACAACAACAACAACAACAACAACAACAACAACTTTGTCAGGAGGAGCTAATTGTTCTAAGTGCATGCTGTCACAGCGTGATTTTATTAGACATAAAGTTATTTGCCTTGAGCAATGTTTGTTTTCTAGATGTGTTACCTTTATAAAAATTAAGTCCAATATTCATAACACACCAGAATTCTGAATTCTTTACAGTAAACATGAACAGATTCATATTTCTGCCAGTTTATTTGTAAATTCAAAACAATTCTTATCCCGGTGCAGGTGTTTCTGCTGGTGACAACAGTAAATGTTTCTAACACTCTGAGGTGATTACCAGCCATGGGGTTTTCAGGAAACAAATGAGGCCTTGAGCGCTTGTCCACACCTTGTTAATTCTTGGCCAATTGTTTAAACTGTGTTGTTGTGAACTCTCCAATCTCTTTTGTTTCAGTGCATCAAAATAGCTAACATGTTTATTAATGTTGGAATATTTCAGCTCTATCGATATAAACCTAAACAGCTGTTCACTTTAAAAACACATTGGAACTGTGTTTAGTTTATTCATTTCTGCTGGTCTCTGCTTTTCTGCCATAAGATTTGCTAATATAGGCCACGTACTGTACGTCAGTAATTTCAGCCAATTAGTCTGAGRACCCAATTAAGGTGGTGTAATGATTTTTTTTTAGAGTTCACAACTTTTAAAACAAATGTAACSTCACAGCCTAGCTGTGAAACCATATTCTTCCACCGACACTGAAAAAAACTTTATTAACCCTGGTAATTGTCAGATTTTAAATGTGATAAATGAGAAAATCTGTTTCTCCAGTTTAGCATTATTAGAGTTGGACGTGTGTATCTTTTAGGTTGACCTGAACATTTCATCGTTCAGTCATTCCATCAGAACAAGATTCAATTTAGAGATCATTTCTATGGGTCCAGAGTTGGGAATGACGTTCTGTTTTTATGACAYAAATTTAGAGAAATGTCACAAAAGTGTTTCAAGAATTTTTAGCAGTTTTAATTGTACTAAAGGGAAATAATGTCACAATGTTAGTCAGCTTTAGGTGGTGGATTTGTTCGAGACATTTAGGCTGCTCGGGGAAGGATTTCCTGAGAGACTACAGAATGACCTTTATTTCCAAAAAAAAACTGAAAGTAGATGAAAATTAATTCTTGACAGTTCATAAGTGCTTCTGTGGGTCCAACTTTTCAATTATTTCCCATCTGCAGTCCTGCAGACTGCAGATGTCCTGAGCTGAACCCAGCAGTTCTCCTGACACCTGTAATCATCGTGTTTTTATACATCATTACARTTTAAAATGTTTATTTGATTGATTACAAGCTACTAGCTCACATATCATATAAAATGTAAAAAAATAAAATAAATAACAAAGAACTGTGTGACAGGTTATAAAAACTGGAAAGCAAGTTGTTCTAAAATGTATAAACCCCTTGTTCGGATTTTACTGTGTGTGCCAAAATTTAATCAAATATAGAGTAACAACATTTGAAGTCACCTGGTGGAGGTGAATCAGATTACAGCAGCGAGGACAGAACTGACAGTGGGAGCTCCAGCTGTGAAGCCTCCTTTGATGGAATGAGTCTGTACAATCCTTGGCATTAATTTGCAGAAATATAATCAGAAATATATTTTTAGGGAAGTTATCTCTTTAAAATTTATAATCAGAAATTAAACAGACTGTTCGACAYACTAACATTTGCTGACAAGCTGTTTTGAATGAAAATCGTTTTAGCGAGAAATCTTGTTTGCTGCCAATGAACAGTAATGTTAGTTTTGTCTTCACATTTAGTCTTTAATCTTTTTTTCTAAGTGCACATAAATTAGCTTAAAATTTGCAAAATGTTCTGTTTGACTGTTATTACAATGCTTACTGGCAATCAATCTTACACCCAGGTGTGGCCGGTCCATAAGGGCACCCCACCTAAAACAAAAATTAATTCGCCCCACAAAGTAGTTCCTCCTAATAAACAATGTAAATAGTTTATTTTCTTTGCTTGCTATGTATTTTATTTAAATGAAATTTTAAATGGATTTAGTTATTCATGCTCAAATTTTTACTTATTTACAGTTGGGTCTATAGGGTCTTTTTTAAACTTATCTGTATGTGAATGACTGTGCTAATGTAGAGCTGTGGTTTTGAAATCATCTCAGTTTGACTCTTGTTTAAGGCCTTGGAGTTGAGATGCGTGGTTTTATGGGTTTATTTTTAATTAATATTACCCTGGCTACGCAAATCAGYAGATAAACGGTAATATGCATTCCTTTAAAGTGAATTTAACAGGCTTTCTTACAGCAYAATAGTGCTGATAAGCAACAGATTTCAACACATTTCATTACATTTTGTTTAACTGATTTTGTTTCCTCACATTGAACTCAACTGCTTTTGAAAAGTCAATAATTTACATCTACATTGCATCTTGTAGAGTTGGTCCGTCCTGTCTTCCCCTGTTTGTCACCATCTTCCGAGTGAACAACACTGTTTTATACCCAATTGGTGAGTGTGTATTATTTTTGTATACTGAACAATCAAATAAATTTAAGATTCTTTAAAACTCTTGAAATGATCTGTCGTAATAAGTTAAGTAAATGTTTGTAATTAGAAATAAGGTCTTCTCTGTACTTTTCTCTCTTTATTTTCCACTGTGGATTGAAATAATGAACTTCGTGCTTGTTTGGTTGTCTTTGTTATTAGAATTTGGACACCTCCAGACAAATTGACATTTCCAGAAATGAGGAAGAATTCTTTTCAGTCACACCTCTTGGAGAGCAGATCTGTATGAACCCTCTGCCCTCTCCTCTTGTAGCTGACAAGACTCTCTTTTTATGGCCTTTCAAAAAAAAAAAAAGAGGAATAAGTGTTTCTTCTGGTTACCTTTGGCTCAGATTTAATAGATTCCATAACTACACAAATAAATCTGGTCCCAAGCAATGTGACAAATCAATGTGAAGGGTATGACTCAGCTGCCTGCCTAGAAAACAACAGTTTAAATCAAAATTTCTGGTGCAACTCRTCGTAGGTTGGAACCAGTTCAGACACACTGCAAAACCCAAGTGAGAGAGTTCTCCATAGAAATGACATTTTGCATTATTTTAGATGCAACATTCTGGAAAATTATTGCTCACAAGCTGATTTAGAGGTGGTTTTATTTATTTATTTATTTATTTATTTATTTATTTATTTATTTATTGTTTTTGCACCAGATGTTAAAAATTAGTTCAGAACAATGTCTATTTTAGACTTTATGTTACTGATATTGTATCGTTTTGCTTAAGGTTAAATGTGAATGCTGCTTAACTTGTATATTTATTATCACATCGTAATAAAAAAGTTGTTGACGTTGTGTTTGCAGTTGTGTTTCTTAGACTGACAATAAGCTGGAAGTCCTGCGCTGCACCAACAGGATTTCCAGTAAAGATCTTCTTTCAGTAAATAAAATTTAATTAGCTTACAATGTAGTTCCTAACTGTTCATGCCTGACTGTTTTTACAGATACGTTTGTTTGCTGTTAATTTAATTAAAAGCAGTTTGTGTCTAGTTCTGTGGCTTAGTGAAAAAGAACATAACGTTTTTTTTTATTATTATTTCTGCCAATACTGTAAAACGTCTCAAAACTTGCTTATCATGCAGGGTTTATTTATTATTGTTTATTTATTCATTTGTAGTTTAGGAAGTGTGTAAAACCAGAAAAAAATAATGACATGGAGAGGTTAGTTATTTCTTTRTCTACTGGATTTATAAGTCTTTAATGACAAACAGGACATGAATGCATTTTAGTTATTCTACAACATATATAAATGAGAGCCAATTACATTTTTGCCTTCAAAACTTTTGCAACTGCAGTKAAATTGTACATTTGAAGCTTTATAATGGTGTTGTCTGCCTTGATCAGTATGTGCTCTGCATGTCTGCCATGGTCCTAAACAAAGAGAAACACCACAACAGGTAAATAAGACTTGGAAGGATCTAGTTTATTTTTGGCAGGTCACACATGAATCATTTGTAAATTATAATGAATAAAAGTGTAAAAAGCTTTTCTCAAAGCAAAATATGTCTCAAATGCTTATAAAAACTCCACATGTCAGAGTTTTGATGTTTTCAAGAAAAATAAAGCTTTGCCTGATTTAGGTGTGTGCAGACTTTTGACTTTTATTGCTGTTGAACAAAAACCAAAATGACCGGAGTGATGTTTGACTGTCTTTTAATACTTTGTTTTTCTTTTCAAAATATGCTTGTTTTGAAGGTGTGAGGTGGGCTGACATGCACCACCCGGCTGTCAAGGTTCACCAGGAAGAACACGTTAAATTCGGCATCTGTCGAGGACGTGTTGAAGGTCCACCTGGGCTCCGTCTTCATGCCCCATGGCCTGGGACACCTGCTGGGGCTTGATGTGCATGGTGTGTGGGGGTTATCCTGAGGTGAGAAGAGGGTGCTTAAAATTCTGAGAGTGTGCTCACCACCACCTCGTCTGCAGCTGAGGACGTAACAAAGACAGCTTTGAGTCAGCTGGAGAAAGAAACACATTCCTGTTAGTTAAATATTGATGTGTCATCTATAATTAAACAGACTGCAGAAGTGAGCAGGTAAAAAGTTCAGGATGAGGGCAGGAGAGTCTGAACCCTGGACACAGATGGTTTCCTGCTGCGGTGAACGAATTTGTTCTGTTTTGACAAGTAAAAGGAAGAGCAGTTCAAACGATGCTGCTGTCAGACGCTGATGTTAGGAAAGATGCTGTTTCAAACTGACCTAAGATGAATGCCGAGTTCAGTCTGTGGAGAAACATGACAAGCAATAACTTCAGTGTCTTTTGGAGAGCAACGCTGAAGAATTTAAACATGATGGCTTAGTGTAATGACAAGATTAGCTGGGTTCTTCTAAGTGGATGAGAGCACTGATATATAACAGCTTTGTTAGTCATCAGGTTCAGGTAACTGTAAAAGTGCCATAAAAGTACTTTGCACCTAACAGTATTAAAAATGATTTTTTTTGTGTGTTTAAGCATGTCACCGAGCCTGGATGGGCCGCCTGGTCCAGGAGTGGATGGTTCTCACTGTGGACCCCGGCATTTACTTAATCAACCACCGGCTGGACCAGGYCCTGGCTGATCCCACCCAGAGCTGCTTCATCGACAATCAAGAGCTGGCTCGATTTTGAGGGCTCACTTTATTTTGTCGGTCTTTTGGTTTGATTCAACCGGGACACAAGGATAGATGTTAACTGCATAAATTCTAAACAAGTATCATTATAAACTGATGTTGGGATTGTTTGGTGTAAGTGTCTACAGATGTAGTTTAGTGACAAATTTAAATTTGTTGCAATGTAGTGAGGAAAAAAAGATAAATTCTACTTTTTGATGCATATTTTGCATTGAATGATTGAGCTCATTTGTAGTTCGATTGCATTTTTGATTCACTAAGCTCATTAAATAAATGTCTACTGAGATTGATTTTGTTGAATGCCTTCTAATCATAATGTCACTGTTGTGTGTAGACGAGGACGACATCGCCATGATGGCTGATGGTATGGAGCACGATGGAGGAACTCAACACATTTATGGCCGACTCTGCCAAAGCTTTCAGCCCATTTCTCAGTAACTGATGGCAAATATCCAGGCTGTATGCTGCAGTGTCACAGCTACTCTTCATGAAAATGTATACTTTAAAGATTATTTTTATACTGCATTCGAATACAGCTTTCAAAGTAATGCGACTATTCTCACAAATACAAGAAATATATTTTTCAAGGGAAGGGAACAAACTTTATCGTCCTTTAAATAAAATGAAATGTCATTTTTCAACCATGTGCAGAGTTTATGATCTGGTTATTTAAAATGTAGGCTWTTCATAGGTTTTAGACAAGCTGCAACAAAATCTCAAACAGTTGATATTTAACAACATAAATCCTAATATCAGCAGAAATAAAATTTTGTTACATTCAGCTTCATTGTTTATGTTATTATTATTATTGATGTTGTTGTTGTTGTTGTTGTTGTTGTTGTTGTTGTTGTTTTTGTTGTTAATAATCTATCTGAAGTCTTATTTACCTCTTTATGACCAGATGAATTTATGTAAAACCTGACACATAAAACTTTTGAAGTAAAAAAAAAAGGTATGCCTTATAATTACTGTGATTGTGTTGTAAGCAGAACGTTGGTCCAGCATCATCAGTAATGATTTTTGTTCATAAGTTATGATTTTCTAATTTGTTGTAATGTTTCTGATTCGCATCATTTTTTTCTTTCCTCTATTTAAAATGTTAAACGTTACCTCTCATCTACTGTTGATTTGCACTACAGTCGACGATGTCGTGTTGTTTTTGTTCAGTGTCAATAAAGTTGCTGTTTAAAAAAAATCCGAGATGACGTCAAATGGAGCGCGACGCAAAGTTTCTTCCAACACGCACGATTTTCCAGCCTGGCCTTTTTAAACCAAGCTTGTAGACACTCGGTACAGATGGGAGATAAAGAAATGAGTTCCGGTAAGTCTGTGAAGACAAAACACACAGCCGTGAAAAACTTCGAGAGGTGGAAGAAGAAATACGAGAGGACGAAAGCTATAGTGAAGAGGAAGAGAGCGGCGGACAAGAAACCCGCGTGGCAAGTGGAGCAGGAGGACATCAACAGACTCGTGAAGCGGTACGAACACATCAGCACCAAGGACGTGCTCAAGTTTTCAGACTTCCCCATCTCCAAGAAGACCCTGCTGGGTCTCCAGGAGCATCAGTACCGACAGCCCACCGAGATCCAGAAGCAGACCATCGGCTTCGCTCTGCGAGGGAGAGATGTCCTCGGCGCGGCCAAGACCGGCTCCGGGAAGACGCTAGCCTTCCTCATCCCGGTGCTGGAATGTCTGTACCGCCACCAGTGGACTTCCATGGACGGTCTTGGAGCCCTCATCATATCCCCCACTCGAGAACTGGCCTACCAGACTTTTGAAGTCCTCCGTAAAGTGGGCAAGAACCACGACTTCTCAGCAGGACTCGTCATCGGCGGTAAGGACCTGAAAACCGAGTCAGAAAAGATCGCTAACACCAACATTGTGATCTGCACCCCGGGTCGGATGCTCCAGCACATGGACCAGACCGCCACCTTTCAAGCTACCAGCCTGTTCATGTTAGTCCTGGACGAGGCGGACCGGATCCTGGACCTGGGCTTTGCAGACACGCTTAATGCTATAGTGGAGAACCTCCCCAAGACGAGGCAGACCCTGCTGTTCTCTGCAACCCAGACCAAGTCCGTGAAAGACCTGGCCCGGCTCAGCCTAAAGGATCCGGAGTACGTCTGGGTCCACGAACAGGCCCGGTTCAGCACACCGGCTTCATTGGAGCAGAACTACGTGGTGTGTGAGCTCCACCAGAAGGTCAACATGCTCTACTCCTTCATCAGGTCTCACCTGCACAAGAAGATCATCGTGTTCTTTGCCTGCTGTAAGGAGGTCCAGTACCTGTTCCGGGCCTTCTGCCGCCTCAGGCCCGGGACCCCCATCATGGCCCTGCACGGCAAGCAGCAGCAGATGAAGCGGGTGGAGGTCTACAACATGTTCCTCAGGAAGCAGAACGCCGTGCTCTTCGCCACCGACATCGCCGCCAGGGGCTTGGACTTCCCTGCGGTCCACTGGGTCCTGCAGGTGGACTGTCCAGAGGACGCGGACACCTACATCCACAGGGTGGGCCGAACCGCCCGCTACAAGGAGGGAGGGGAAGCCCTGCTGCTTCTGCTGCCCTCCGAGGAGGACGCCATGGTGGCCCAGCTGCAGGACAAGAAGGTCCCCATCAACAAGATCCAGGTGAGACATCAATGGGTCCACATAGAACCAGAACACGTCTTCTCCTTTTAATCAATACAAGTTGTTGCTTTGATTAAAGCCTCAGAATGAGGGCCGCTTTCTTGCTTTTTAATATGTTAGATTGGTGTATTTTTGAACAGAAAAACATCAAATGATCCTCTAACAAAGAATCTTTGACTTTTCTGACTTAGTGAATAAACAAACTAAAGCAGAAAGTCTGAGTGAACAAATATCAGAACCATCTCTGTGGTACTCAGTGTCTGAGTGGAGTTTAAAGGGATCCACCATTAGTTGTAACATTAGACTTTATTTAATAAACATATGTTTTAACTGTAAAATAAAGATTGTAAAAATACTGTAGGCTGTTTAGTTTTTATAATTTTTTAACTAAAAGTTTAAAAATATTTTAACACGGACGGGGCCTTTTTATTTACACGCAAAGCATTCTGGGTAAACGATGACGTGGATAGGTCCTCGGTGTGAGCGAGCTATATCCACCCTGAAGGTTAATCTTGGACAATATCTGAYGATYGACTCTTTTAAATGAAACCAGAGAGCGTTGACAGAGAGGAGAAGGTAGAAATGACTCAGCCTGCAACTGAAAATATGGATGGAGGACCTCAGTTTAGCTTGTTTGTCGCGCTAGCGCTGAGCTAATACATATAATATAGCATCGGTGCTAAAGCTAACAAGCTAAGCTGAGGTTCTTCTTCCATGAAGCAGCTCTGTTGTCCTCCATCCATATTTTCAGTTACAGGCTGAGTCATTTCTACCTTCTCTCTGTCAACGCTCTCTGGTTTCATTTAAGAGTCGATCATCAGATATTGTCCAAGATTAACCTTCAGGGTGGATATAGCTCGCGCACACTGAGGACCTATCCACGTCATCATTTACCCAGAATGCTTTGCGTGTAAATAAAATGGCTCCGTCTGTGTTAAAATGTATTTTTAAAAATTTACAAAACTAAACAACCTACAGTATTTTTACAGTCTTTATTTTACAGTTAAAATAAATGTTTATCAAATAAAGTCTAATGTTACAACTAATCAGGGATCCCTTTAAGGTTTAATCAAACCAGGTTAATGGAAGAAAGCTCGTAGTTTATTCACTCTTGTCGTTATGAACTCCACCATCAAACGATTGTAGAGTAAAATGTGAGCCCATCTGTCTTACAGCTGAAGTTCGGACCAGACTGGGTCATGATACAATGATCCCAAACACAGCAATTAATCTACAACAGAACAGGTGAAAAGGAACAGAATCAAGGTTCTGCAGTGGTCCAGGTGTTAGAACTATACGTGCCTTTTGATGGGTGGGGTTAAAGATGAATCGATGAGGATGAGAACAGATCGTCACTGAAACCGACAGGAGAACATCGAAACTAAAATCTTTCCTCGTCTCATTCTGTATTTCAGGTGAACCCAGAGAAACTGCAGAACGTCCAGCAGAAGCTCCAGGCCTTCCTGGCCCAGGAGCAGGAGCAGAAAGAACGAGCCCAGAGGTGCTTCGTCTCCTACCTGCGCTCGGTCTACCTGATGAAGAACAAAGACGTGTTTGACGTCTTTAAGCTCAACATCGAGAACTACGCTCTGTCCCTGGGTCTCGCCGTGGCTCCCAGGGTCCGCTTCCTGCACAAAGCTCAGGCACAGAGGGCGGAGAAAGAAGAGAAGCCGTCTGATGAAGAGGAGGAGCTCAGGAGATTTAAGTCCCACTTGAGAGGACCGTCGCCTCAGGAGGACAGTCAGCCCAGCGAGGATGACGACGACGATGGCAGCGACGAAGATGCGGATCAGCCCTTTGCAGCCCAGCCCGGTGCGGACGACGAGGAAGATCTCCGGGACTTGGATCTGCTCACGGTGAAAAGGAAGGACGTCTTCAATCTGGATCAGGATCAGCAGCAGGACGAGGAGCAGGCCAAGGCCTCCAAGAAAAAACTGGAAAAGGAAACAAAATTTAAAGAAGCCAAAAAGCTCCTCAGGAGAAACTTCCAGGTGAACACTAAAGTGACGTTTGACGCTGAAGGACAGGCCGTGCAGCTGTGGCCCCCCGTGCAGCGGGCGGTGACTGACCAAGACCCTGACGAAGAGGACGAGGTTTCGGGCATCAACGTGGAGAAGGCCAAGGAGAGGCTGAGGCGGGAGGATGAGGAGTTTGACAAGGCAGAGTACAGACGCAGGGTGAAGGCCAAACATCGAGAGAAGAGGCTGAAGGCCAAGGCAGCCAGGAGGGAGGCCAGCAAGCGCAGCCGTGGGGTCGACGAGGACGACGAGGAGGACGAAGTCGCAGCCTACCTGGCCAATAACAGCGAAGACGAGTTTGACCCCAGCACACTGCCGGATCCTGACCAGCAGCACTCCTCTGACCAGGAGGAAGAGGAGGAGAGGGAGGAGAAGAAGGAGTCAGCCAAACAGCAGCACAGCAGCGATGAAGAGGAGGAGGAGGATGACRGTGCAGCATCCCTTTCCAATAACAGTGAAGATGAGTTTGACCCCAGCACACTGCCGGATCCTGACCAGCAGCACTCCTCCTCYKMKGAGGAGGAAGAGGAGCAGCAGAGGGAGTCAGCCAAACGGAAGCACAGCAGAGATAAAAAGGAGAAGCTTTCTTCAGGGAAGAGGAAGAAGATGAAGAAGCAGGAGGAAGCACACGCTGCTTTGGACACGGGACTGTCTCTGGCTGAGGATGAGGAGTTAGTTTTACATCTGCTGGGGGGACGAAGGTAGAGACAAAATGTCAAACCTGTGCAGACATTAGCTTTTTGTTTCCCACCTGGACAAATATGGAGAAAGGAAATTAGTCATAAATTAATCTTAAAATCAAAGTGATGCATGATAAAGATATAAAAGTTTGTTCACAATTAAAATAATGTAAAAAAATCACTAAATCTTTTCATTTCTTGCTAATTTATATAAGGACAAGTATTAAATACCACACTATAACATTTATAGCTGAGACTTGTTTGCAGTTTGTCCCCAAACATAATTTAAACAACAAGAACGGCAGCAGATTTAATTATTTATATAAATAAAACGGCATAAAATATTACATCTAAAGAGACAAATTATTCAGAAAAAATAAAAATTGATTATATTGAGACGACAGGGATGATTTGTTGGTTTTAAGGCTGTAAGTTACTACAAGTTAATATTTAATTTTAATGTCAGGTTATGGAGCACAAAAACATGCCAGAGTGTCGTCATCCTGTGTGTCCAGCAGGTGGAGGAAAACCCTGAATCTGTTGCTGCATCACTGCTCGTGTGAAAAAGATGTTTTAGAGTTTGATTGTTAGGATTTCTACGTTCTGACTGATGTCGTCATCATGAGCTTCATCTGCGTTCGTCTCCAGCCAACCTGTCTCAGTCTGGGAGGGTTGTGTCCAGGTCTCGACTCGGCTCCACTTGGTTTAAGTAGTAACCCAGTTTTATCTAACACCAGAAACTAACAAACACTGAAAGACCTGAAAATGATCAAATCTTCAGGGCTTTTATTCTCTCTGGTTCAAGACCCTCCTGCAGGTCTTAGGTTTGTTGCTGATGTGGAACYCGTGGGTTTGTTGTGACTTTCCACTTGTTGAAGTTAAGACCTGGAGTTACAGACGTGCCTTTTTAATCGTTTTGGCTGCAGCTGTTTGTTAACCTGCTGCAAATTGAAAACTTGTTCATGAAAAAGAAAGGATAAAACCACCCAATGAATATGATGATTGTGATGTTCAGCAGCTGGTTGGTTTARACTTGATCACACTAATAATTCTGTGAAAGATCTTCCCTGATTTGATTAACAGTTTATTAACTAGTTTAAATATCAACCAAGAGAAAAAAATATCATGTAGGGGTGGAAGATGAGCAAATGTCAATAAAAAGTTAGAACAAAGAAATGTGAGAAAATACAGTATGTGATGCAAACCCAACATTAAAGAGTGCAGGCAATGAGTAAGGTTTTTAAATTAACGTTAAAGTCTCTTTTTTAGTTTCACACATGTATAGTCAATTGTTTTTCTATTTATCAAGGTTTTATAGTGGAATTTTACAGTTATTTTTATTACCACACAATCATAATCAACTTTTACTCCTAAGACAAATTTTAAATTATGCAGCATTCTCTGCTCTGTGACAAATATATGCAGTACACACACACACACACACACACACATATATATATATATATATATATACACACACACACACATACATATATATCAGTGCTAACATTTACTTTTTGTTGTAAAACGAGATTTCAGTGGGATTTTCCTGGTTTATTAAAATAAATGTTTGAATTTTCGTCGTCATTCATCATTTAAAAAGTTGATCTAACATTAAATATTTGGAATTATGATGCTTATTCAAGTTTCTGATTGGTCCATTTCTTGCTTTAAATGCACTTATTGCCCTCTAGTGGAGAAAAGTTATATTACAACTAAAACCAAACTTGGTAGTTTTAGATCATATCACTTCTTTGGTGGTTATTATTTAGTTATTTTCCAAGTTCTTATCTTTAACTTTATTATAATTTTAAAATGTTTTGTTGGATTTTGTATGTACGATCACAAGTGTGCATATGTACAGATGGACTTGTGTTCCATCCATTAGGATGAACCTAATTGGGAAGACGATTAGCGCCACAAAGCAATAAATAAAATAAAAATTCCTGAGTTCTGACTTTTTTCTCAGAATTCTGAGATTAAAGTCAAAACTGACTTTATAATAATTGCCTTTATTTGTGTATAAATAACATTTTAAAATTTTAATTGGCCCATGTGCACAACTAGAAGTTTGTTATGATGATACAATTAGATTCAGGTGTTTTCATGCAGTCAATGTGTGCTCAGTTTTAAATGTACAATAATCAGATCTGACCTTCACCATACTGACTATTTGTGGAAAACTACTTAAGCACAAAAGCAAGGCATGTTGGAAAAAAATAGAAATAAAGCTGTTGATGCTCATCAGGCTGCAGTAAAATGACACATTTATAAAGTTAGAACTCCACTAATCTACAGTCTGGGTTAATAACAGGCTACTGTTACAAAGATCTTTTCAATCTACGTAAAGACCAACAAATACACAGATAAACCTCCAAATAACCACAGCACTCCAATTTTCTGTTTCGATCATTTATACAAGCCTAAAAGCTGCTGAAACCTTGTTCTGGACTGATAAAACTATAAATGAAATGCAATTTATGTTTGGAGTAAAAATGAAAGTAAGCAACTTCAGCAAACAGGACTTATCTAAAGCATGCTGGTGGTAGGGTTATGGTTTGGACTCATTTTGGTGAATTAAGTCGGAACGGCTTCATAATAAATAAATAAAGGCTTCATTTATCAGAATCTGTAACGTCACCTTCAACCTCAACACCAATGGTAGAAAATATTAGGGATCACACGAGAAAAAGCTGAAGTCTAGTGCACAAGCTGTGTTTATTCCTGTAACACTGTACAAAACACTCTTTATAAAAATAAAACACAGGTTTGAATTGGTCCCAGTCTTGTGCTGAATATGACCAAATAAGAATTCTGATAACTTTTGGAATGATTCTGTTTTTCTTCAGCTGTAAACTAGTTTTTTTTTCTTTCTGAACTTCAACACAGATATACAGTACTTGTGGATCCGAGGTAAGTTTGTACATCTTGGAGGGAATTATTGTGTTATAAAAGAACTGAAATAAATGTTTTACAGGACTGAAAATAATATTATTGACAAAAAAAAGGCAGTTTATGAACAACAATTTACAATGAAAGTAAAACTTTACGCATACCACGACAAATCAAGAGCTACAAACTGTTAAGAATTAAAATATAGTGGAGGGGCGGGGTTTGATTATGAGGGATATTTTATATCCCGCAGTGGAAGGAGATCGTCTCTACATTTACTTTCAGCTTCCCTAAATCCATTACAGCTTGCATCTGCTTCTGCCATCCAGCAGGCTGTGGAAATCCCACATTCAGTACGGAGCTTGTGATTGGCTGAGAGGCAGAGCAGGAAGCCACCAGTGGCCGATAAAGCAGCATCCACCCTGGAGAGCAAGATACATAAATAAAGAGGCATTTCTTTCTTTTCAGCTTCTACAGAAGACAACTTTTATCAGTCATACATTCATATATAAACATTTATGAATATTTTACATAAGCGTCGTCTACACCTCATAGCTCTGAAGTAAGATAAATGGATGGCTTCATAACAAAGGCCTTAGCTGGGTGCGGGAGCTCAAATTTAATTAGTTATTTTTGTCACCTGTTCTCTGCCGTTTGGTCAGTAACTGATGTGAAAGAGTTAAATATTGACAGCATCGTGTCAGAGATCTGAGTGCTGCGATGTGATAAACGTTCAAACCAGATGTTTGCGCCGTTTCTTCTTCATAGAAAGTTGTCCGCCTAAAGAGAAGCAAGGTTTTTCATCCAGCCAGAGCCTTGTTTATCCAGCAACTAGATTCATGTCAGCCATAAATCAAAGCTGCTCCCCCCGCCCCCCCCACTCCCACTTCTCCAAACAGCTGCCTCCAAATGAACCGACAAAAATGCTCCATCTTCACTTTCCGTCCTTGGCAGCATCTATAGGAGTCCATTCTAGGTAAGGTCCTGCCTTGTCCTGTTCGCCAAGCCGAAAAGGCCTTAGCGGGGAACTCAGTCTGGCCCATCATCAAGCTGAGGGACGCTGGAGGCGAGCGCTAGCTGCGGCCCCGATGGGTGGCCTGCTTGTGGGCCATGCGTGAGCACGAAGCGCAGCAGGTCGTTTTGTAGTAATCGTACACGCAGAGGCGAGCCTGGACCACCACGTTGCAGTTAAAGTGCATGTCTCTGCAGTTCTCATCTGAAACACAGAGTCTTACGTCACTTGTTTTGTACCAAGAGAACTGAGTTAGAACAGGTGAAAAGGTCGTGCCGCCGTGGACGTCACTAATTACCACGTGTTCACGCGGATGCTAAAGCCATCAGCAAACATTCAGCGAGGTGCTCGGCGCTATTCCAGAAAGCAGAATTAAAGCTGACTGACCTATGTGAGGAACGCAGGGCTCAGGGTTGCAGTCCTCCCTCTCTGCTGGTTTCAGCTGCTCGTCACAGCCTTCACTGGACTGCACATCGTCAGACAGGCAGCGGACCTCCCGCACCCGGAAACCTCGCTCGCATGTTTTTGAACACTGGAAGAGGAGTCAGTGACAGGAGTCAACCTTTTGGTCCCATAAAACAAGAGTTGATAGCTTTAAGCTAAATATTTCTCCTTGATAATTCACCTACATGTGGACAAAGTCTGCATAAAAACAGACTTTTTATGTGAATATTCTAAACCAGGAGTTCCCAAACTTTTCCATGCCGCAGCCCCCAAATAGCATTAGCTTCTGGCCAGGGAACCCCCCTTGCAAACCTACAAACAATGCTACAAAATATAAACTTTTACGTTTTTTTTTTCCACTTTAATTCACTATTCAGTATTTGTTACAGTTAGCAGAACAATTTTATTAACTAACATGTTTTAAATACTATTGTTACCACTGAAAAATAAAACTTTTCAACAAMCAGTTGATGATAAAAACAGAACCAAATAAAATCAAACATCTCTTAAAATCTCTTAAATTACATATATTCATATAAATTATATTTTAAAATAATGATTAAAAACATTTGATTTCATGATAACGATTAAAAACGTTTGTTAGATTATATTCCCTCCAGATGTCTGAGGCCTTCTTACTGCCCCCTGGTCCAAGTAGGGGGTCTCTGTAGTACATAGGGGGAGTTTCTTGTTGTGTGGGTGGAGTTTGTCATACACGTAATTGACAGAGTTCTTGATGTGAGCAGAGTTGGTCCTGAACATGATTGGTGGAAATGGTGAGTGGGCGGAGTTTGTCCTAACCTTGATTGGCGGAGTTTGGATAATAGGTGGAGGTTTGSTGTGGGCAAAGCTTGGCAAAACTGTGATTGGTCGGATTGACTTTTCTTGTCAGGCAATTTAACAGAAAGTAAAATTTGTGTGAACATGTAAACATAATTTATTGACATCAAATTTTATATGGCAAGCACCTTCCAGTCTCAAATTGTGACAAATAATAATTCATATTTATATATAGTGATCTTTTTACAAGCAGGTTAGGGCCAAATTGTTACACGTCCCTCCACATGTACGGCATTCAAATTTTGTGCAGTTAGCACCTTCCTGTTTCAAGTTACAACTAAAATATTCTTCAAACCCCACTCAAAACAGTCARTCTAACCAGTCACGTCTTTAACAAACTCAAAAGAATCAAACAGATCAATCATGTCTTAGATAAACTCCTCCCACAAAACAAGAACCTCCTACTTATTTACTGCAGAGACACTCTTCTTACCCGATCTATCATCTAAAACTGGAAAAAGGGTCTCGTCTTACAGCGCTCCAGTCAGTGTGGTACCACTTGGCTCCACAGGCCTTCAGGTTGCAGCTCTGCTGACTGAGCGGTCGGTTCAAGGATGAGCATTCGTAAGGCGGCATGACGGTGATTCCTTCATCTGACTTCATTAAACACACTACTGACCTCTGCTGGCTGCCGGGGCCACACTCTGCAGAGCACTGCATGCCCAAAAACAGGCAATGAAAGGAAAAACAAGACATGAATAAAAGTTTCAGCTAAAGTCTAGATAATCAACCTCTCCTTAAAGCGTATGTATGTCATACCTGACTCCAGGGACCCGTGAACCATTCGATGCGATTCTCACAGGGGCCGTTGTTGCAGACCTGAGAGTCTGCAGGCCGCTCGCTGCCGCATCCCTCCAGAGGAAGACTGCTGATGTGGTTAGTCAGGCAGAGGACTCCCCTGGTTCGTACGCCCATCCCACATTCAGCGGAGCACTGTGGGACAAACAGACATCAAACATCCCTTAAAATAATAAAACTATATTAGAACTACCCTTAAATACTCAGATTTTCTATTCTAAAACTCTGATGAAAACAAACRTCCATGCTACTGTTTTAACAAACAAAATAAAGTTACTGACTCCCTGACCCCTTACCCTAAACCTAACCTCACCCTAAAACTAACCTAAACTCAATTCAAACCATAGTTCTAAACCTAACTCCCAAACCAACAACACCATTTCCCGTCATGAGGACTATAGGCTTGGGCCCCCATGAGTACCAGTTGGTTCCCATAAATAGGTGTATGCCAAAAATGGTCCCCACATAGTAGGGAATACCTGCCTGTACACACACACACACACACGCACGCACGCACGCACACACACACACACACACACAAATTTGCACAGCTGTACATTTGGGGAAATTCCATTGACTTTTATTACATTTCTACAGCCTAACCCTGACCACAAACCCTAAGGCTAACCTCACAGGTAGATCTACCTGACCCTAAAACTAACCTAAACTCAAATAACACCTTGGTCCTAAATCCAACCCCCAACTCACCAATGTCATTTAAACCAAATGGGGACTCGACTTAGGTCCCCAAATCCACCAGTTGTCCCCAAATGTAGGATTTTTGTCTTAAAATTGCCCCAAATGTCACCAAAAACAACCCCCCCCACACACTCATCTCTCTAACTTTGTGTGGATTTTGTATTGACTTCCAATCATTTCTGCAGCCTAATCCTAACCCTAATCTACACATATTGACAGATTTACTGTATATTTCACATCACTAAACTTCCTTTACGGCAATGTAGGCATTCAGTATCAAGAAAGCAGTAATGCAACAGAGTGGATGCATTCCACCGTAAAAGAGACACTCAATTTAAATTTTTTATTGCAGGGATTAATTTTACCCATAGAAWATTTTACTTCCTATCATGGATCAGTTRGCAGCAGCATTGCACCRGCATGATTGGYTTAGTCTGGGTGGGTTRRATCAGCTTGCAGCTGGGAGGGAAGCAACATGAGGACTGAGCCACCTCGTTGTTTTGTGACCAGGAAGGAGCTCYCAGCAGCACCCGCTCTTCATCAGAGAGCTGCGTTCACGTCAGAGTTTCTAAAAGTCCCCATAACACCAGAAAAACAGTCGCTAGATTTYCGCTWGTMGCTTATTTCACAACATGTCCTGCAATCCGTCACTTCTCTCTCATGTCAGCCGTGTGTTGACTCAGACATGCATTGAAATGGTCAAATTGTCCAAAATCATGGGATTTTTAAAAAAATATTTATCATATAATATTTAGCTTATTATTTATCATCATCATAGTATATGATAATTTATGTACGTCTGGCGACACTGGTTACAGCTTCCTTGAGAATGAACACTTACATTGCTGGAAAGAAATTTTCACTGATGTGAAACATAAATCTGTCAATCTGTGTTGGATTACCCTGGCTTTCTCAAGGACCCGGATRTGTGGCACAAAAATTGAATTTTGAAATAAAAATTGAATTAAAGAAGTAAAAGTGAAAATAGTCAAACTGAATTTTCAATACAACAAAATACGGTTTCAAAGCTAAATAATTAAGATTCTAACCATTAAATTCAGTTTAAACGTAGTGAAATAAATGTTCAAACCAATGAATTTCATTYAAAATTACACACAGTCAGTCTGAGCAATTTAAATTCAGTTTCCGATGGCACAAGTTTTTTTCCCATACCTTAGCGCTAAACCTAACCCCTGACTTACAAATGGGTTTTTCTATTGTGTGGACCAGACAAATGTCCACACAATGACAAAATGTCCTCATAAGCATAGCATAATGTCAAAATATGTACATGAACACACACCATGTTGCCCCAGTTTGTGTAGAACCAGCTCTTGGCGCAGGCTCCCATGTCACAGTTTTCTACATCGACGGGCCGCAGGTTCATGTTGCACTCTTCATCGAGAACAAAGTCGCCCTCATTGCTGACGCAGCGAACCTCTCTGGACCTCTGACCCAGCCCACACGGCACTGAGCACTGCAAAGACAGACCACACGGTTAATATGGCAGACTGTGTCGCCTTWAATCACAGACACACTGATTATGTAAAAAAGGGGGAAAAAAGGTATTTTATTGGGACATCAGAGTTAAACGTGCACCCCTGATGGTGAACAGGACAGTGTRACTCTGCCACTGTGGCTGACTGCTGCCACTCACAGCGGTCCAGTCGGAGCGGATCTGCCACTCACTGCAGATCTTCAGCTGGCAGGAGCTGGTTGTGTCGGGTCGCTCCAGGTGTCGGCAGCGGCTCGTGTGGACATTGAGGGTGCGGTTGGCGTAAACCTGGCGGCACAGGACCTGCCGGTGCTGCATGCCCAGGCCGCAGGTCTTACTGCACTCGGACCACTCTCCAATATCCCAGCTGATTGAGGGAAGACGTGATGTCAGGAATGTTACAAAATACTTATTTGTTTAGATTTTCTTTTCTTTTTGTATTTTTGGGGGATAGGGTGACTGCGTGTGTATTGTTCTTCTATAAGAATGAAAGATAAGATTACAAAGATTCACTACATGTAAACAAGTAACAACTGAGAGCTCATGTTCAATATAAAATGTAAAGATATAAACATTAGCAAAAGTACTGCATACCACACATTATACAGATATATTTTACAGATGGAAATTAGCATTAGGCTAAATCTGGTGCAATGCATCAAATTATGTTTTAATTGCACACTGTCCTGAATAAATAATTCATTCAAAAAATACACCCATCAACAGACTGTTATATATACTGTAGTTCCTTGTGAGACATAATTTGATCCAATGTGAAGTTGAGTCTTGGCTGTGCTTTTTCCCAACCAAACTGCGATCAAGGAACTTTAAATCTTAGCYTTTTTGGAATAGTTTGTTTGATTTTTCTTTTTATTATATAAATTGGCAGGGATGCACCCCCCTCACAGCATTATTAAGGCTGACTAAACTGGGTTGGGTGAGAGATAAGAAAGAAGGGCAGGTTTTGTTGCTGGTTACGTTATTGGCCAGAAACGTGATAGTTTTGGGTTGGAAGTCAGGCAAGCCCCTACTTTTGAACTGTGGTTGACAGATTTTGGAAATGTGCTCCATTTGGAGGAAATTAGGTTTATTTTGTTTAACCCAGAAAGAATATTTTATAAGATTTGGCAACCAGTCATTATCTGTATGAATGAACTTTAGTAATATATRCATTATGTAAAAGTAAGGACAGCAAGGACATTTGTGTTTTGTAGACTATTTCTTTGGTGTAATTGCTTATGAGTAATAAATCCTACACCAATGGAAAGCCTGTTAAACTTCCATTTAAATGGTGCCACATTTGTAAGGAACATGCATTTGTGGGATGGGAAGTAGAGCTGAGTATGTGGGTTGAGCACATGAAAAACTTGCCAACTCTTCTCTGCCATTGCCAAATACAACACTTGTTTTGAGCTTCTGGTTCCTCCTAAGTGCTGCCAGTCAGGTTCCAGGTATAAGATTTATTGCCAAGAAGCATTGTTACAACATAGAAATCATCTACAAACTATCAAACAGAAATCCAGCAATATATAATAAGCTAAATTATCTCCAAACAATTTGACTTTTGAGCATTTTTTTTTTCATTAATCATGACTCCAGACCGATGCAAAAAAAAAAAAAAACATTAAAGGCTGTTGCTTTTCCTGTTTAAYCTTAGTTTTGTGGCCACAACATTTATCACATTACCAACACACCCATTCCCAATATAGTATCTAAGATTTGTTTGTGACCACTGAAGATCACCCCTGAATTTTGACTCTATTAATACAATCAACACATTTCAGTTTAAATGTCAGTGATCCTAACGTTGTGACTGACTGATCATTTGTCCCAGTGATTACAAAATAGTTGAATAAATAGTCTAATGATCTTAAAATATGAATTCTTACAATGCTGGGCATGGCTGCAGGTTGCAGGCCTCCTCCTGTGGTGTTGGACGGCTGCTACTGTCACACAAAGTGTCTGACACCTGAACGTGGTTCTGCCGGTGGACGCAGTGAAGGACCGTATATCTGAAGCCTGAGAAGGAAATGCACTTTGTTCACCTGATGAACAAAACTATAATGAATTTTTACAGAAGGTATTTACCTTTTCCACAGGTGGCGCTACATTCTGTTGCTCCAGTTAGTTTCCAGTTGTACTCTCGCTCCCGCCTRGGCGGCTGAACCGCAGGTACCTGGTTGTCAGGGAGATGAGGGGGATATCCCCCGCCTCCTGCTGAATTTGAGTTTTCCTGTTGAGCATTATTGTGCTGGTTGTACTCGTTTTGCCCATTTATTGGTTCTTCTGAGACACAAAGAGAAACAACCCAGCAAATTAAAGACACCAATGTGTGTAGAGCTATGGCTAAAGCTTGGTTTTATTCATGATGATCAATGATCTGATAGTTATTTTCTCCTGTGGATGGGTTTATTTTACCTTCTGGTCCGTGGTTTGGCTGCTGAGGCACGGCTGGTTTCTCTGAGGGGAGAAGGTATTCGTAGTGAACACCCGGGTTTGGCTGCTGGAAGATCATCTGAGGAAAAGTGGATGAGACTTCTCAAACTATCCTGTGGTTTCCTTGTTTTGGTTTAAACATTCTTCTCTCCCACATTCCGTCTGTTGTCTCACGTCAAATACTTTTCAGGATATTAGGAGAGATTTTTTTCTTTCCTTTTTTTTAGTTATACTCACAAAAACATCCAGGATTTCATTGGTGGGGCCTTCTGCAAGAAAGGATTCCCCGGCTGTGGTGCTTATCTCATTGGGTCTGCGGTAGGTGAACATGGTCCCTCCACCCTCGTACTTTCCTGGTCGGTCAATGGCCCAGTTTCCATTAATAATGGATCTCCCCGAACGGCTTCGCAAAGCTGGAAGACAGCGAGTTAATGACCACACAAYCACCACCACAGACATAACAGTAAAAAAAAAAAGAGAAGGACAGCTAACTGAGGATGAAGAAAAGGCTCTCAAAGCAGCATGGCAATGTATTTGTGCTGGCAAATCTTTCATGCAAACCTTTGCAACAAAATCCGCCAAGATGTTTTCCACTGATTCCATGGATTAAATGCAGGAAGCCATTAGGAAAGAATTAAGAACGTAACATTAGACAGGGTGGTAAAAGARAGTGTTTGGACAACTAAAAGCACTGTTAGATATCCACAGGAAGGAACAAAGACCTATTGTGAAAAAAGAGATATATAGTACAATGAAGATCCTGYAGGTGATCCCAGCAGGATTTTAGCTCCTATTATGTTCTCATTAAGAAACGCTGCAAAACAATATTTAAAACGTGTTGATTTGCATTCTCAGCTTCTAGTTTATTTCAGTTTATTTTATTGCGCAAGTGATGGTTTATTGGCTACTGTTTTTGGAGGTTTGGAGATCTATGTGTGCGATATTAACTACTAAGTGTTACACTGTGTAAGAAAACTGTCAGTTTAAATAAGAGAAAACAGGAAAAAATGGCCTCCTTGCAGATGAACACTCAGAAAGTTRGCAAAGGAATAAACCCAACTTGTTCATGCTGTTTCTAGTATTTTTAAGAGTGGTAAAAGTCCTCCTAATTAGAAAAGAATGATGGGGTTTAAGGGTGAGATCTTTTAATGAAAGCWTGTTTATGCACTTTCCTGAAGGGGTGGGGAGATCACGGCTGTCCCCCACTTTGTCCTGAGTCGGGACAAGGCTCTCATTAATGTCAGGCATTCCAACAAGTCACTTCAAAACACAACCCACAGCCGTGTCCCACTGTTACACCTTTGTGAAAACACCAATAATTCTTGTTGGTGCTGACTGCACACTGGAGAAATCACAAAAACATGTCCTGGATTTAATGAATTTAATCTACACCATAACACTTTATGTGGTGGGTGGATATTTCTTTACCAGCTGAAAGTAAGTGCAAAACCAGAATGGAAAATAAAACAATATTTGCAAAGAGACAGCTAAATTAGCTGTTTGACGACACGTTTTCCAACACTTCTAGAGTACCAGTCAAAACTTTGAACACAGAGGAACTATTATTTTTTTGCCACAAAACTTACATTCTTTAAAGAGGCACAAATCTTGCAAGCCAACATAAATATCTGTTAGAACTCAAAGTGCATAAAGGGAATGACTCTCAACTACTACCGCGCCAAACCTTAACTCAACAACTGTGAAATGGACTGGGTTATAACCATTTTTGTGTTTGCTGTGTTCAATAAGCTGCGATGGCCATATTTATTCAGGATGACTCCCAAAGATGATGAGTTGTATAGATGCACATTCAGTGATTTATTTCTGAGGAGTTGTAAAATTCATCCACTGGTTTAGGGGATATTGTGCTAACAGACAATCTTCACAAGGACATGCCAAAGATTTAAACACATATCTCGTTTTTTTTACATAATGCAGTGTTTCATCTACCATTATTGGGCAACAACTCCCCACTCACACTCATTGGTTAAACATAATTAAACTAACCTGAAAACAACAGCAGTTTCTCCATTTAGGACCCCCAAGCCTGTGTTTTGTTAACCCCTATCACACTCATGACCAGTTAATGGTATGAAGCACAAAAACTGTCAGACAAAGCAGGAAGTGGGACAATATCACAAAAAATAATTTACACCAATCTTAAAAAAAAATCCACAAAACGCTCCCACATTTTCACTGCGTTTACTTTTACTACCCACCCAGGTAGTTTCTGCTCTTCATCATCTCGGTCACGTTGATCTTGGTGGCTCCCTCGGGGATCTCCACAATTCTGTGGTAGCCGATCTTGGACAAACTGTGTCTGAAGACTCCTGAGACCAGCCTGCAGGTTGAGTTGTTGCCTCCGCAAACGCCGCACCTGTCAATCACCTTTCCTGACCCCAGATACTCATCACAGCCGAGACTCTGTGGAGAGCAGGAGAGGAAGGTGAGACTGAGTTACTGAGCGTTAAAAGTTCAAGTTCAAGTTTATTTATATAGCGCCAAATCACAACATACAGTACGTTGTCTCAGGGCACTGTACATAAAAAGAACAATCTAAAGAAGGAGCCAGCAGATTGTGTTGAATCACTTCATCACAGTCTCCCATCCTGAGCAAACGGTGGAGAGGAAAAACTCCCTGCTAATCAGGAAGAAACCTCCAGCAGAACCAGGCTCAGGACAGGCGGCCATCTGCCTCGACCGGCTGGTTGAGRGACAGGAAAGAGACACAGGCAAACACAGAAGAACTGGTCCAGGACTGGTCCAGGTGCACCTTCTTCTGGAAGAGACAAAAAGAAAAAACATGTTATTGATAGAATTAATTACAATAAACATATAGAGAAGAGAGACTAAAGACAACAGCAGAGTGAGGAAATGTGCTCAGTTTGTGCTCCAGCAGTCTRAGTCTATAGCAGCAGAAATGAAGAATAATTCAGGAAACCTAAGTCTAACTATAKGATTTATCAAAAAGGAAAGTCTTCAGTCTAATCTTAAAAGTAGACAGAGTGTCAGCCTCATGGACAGAAACTGGAAGTTGGTTCCACAAGAGAGGAGCTTGATAACTGAAAGCTCTGCCTCCCATTCTACTTTTAGAAACTCGAGGAACCACAAGTAAAGCTGCAGTCTGAGAGCGACGTGCTCTGTTRGAAAAGTATGGAACAATAAGATGTTTAATATACGATGGAGCTTGGTTGTTAAGAGCTTTGTATGTTAGGAGTAATATTTTAAATTCTATTCTGAATTTGACAGGGAGCCAGTGGAGAGAAGCTAAAACTGGAGAAATATGATCTCTCCTTCCAACTCTCATTAAAACTCYATCAGCAGCATTTTGGATTAACTGAAGACTTCTTAAAGAGTTTTTTGGATGCCCAGATAATAAAGAATTACAGTAATCCAGATGTGATAAATGCATGAATCAGATTTTCTGCATCATTTTTGGACAAAATATTTCTAATTTTAGTGATATTACGCAGGTGGAAGAAGGCGGTCCTGGTAACATTTTTAATGTGGGGGTTAAAAGACATATCCTGATCWAAAATAWCACCAARSKTCTTTACATTAGAACTGGAGGCCAGATAAATGCCATCCAGAGGAGGTGAAAGGCTGATGAAGACAGAGTTCTCAACGCGCAGGATGAGTGGAACTAAGAATAGCTACTAATGAATGTTATATAAGGTTTACGAAGTTTCAACTAATCCCAATTTTTTAAGGTGTAAGTTTTCTCTTACATTAGAGGTAAGAAATTACAGGAAACCCAGATTTGTTTAAAACAGAACATCAGCAGTCAGCAAGTTTACCCAAAACAACCGTAAAGGCAGCAAGCTGTGCAAACAGGTGCTCATAGAGCAAGAACTGCTTGGAGCGAGCTACTAATCAGTCAAACACAAACCACTGAGGCCATCACTTATCTGAGAGATGTCCAAAATATATATTTACTTCTACCTGGCTTCTGTGTCCAGCCACTGACTGCAGCTGACTTGTTCTCTGTGTTATAACACTCTCTCCATCCGAGTTAATTCTTAAATACCAACTTTGGTAAAATAACTCCTTCAACAACACACACTATAACGTCTAGAGTTTTGTTGACATCAGGTGGGAAACATAATTCTAAAGACAAATGACCTAAACAAATTTACAGGACGTCTACAATAATTCATACATGTTCGGGCAATCTCAACAGATTTTGCAGCCATAAATCTGCAGCAAGCTTACAGTGAGACAAACGTATAGCAATAAGAGGATAAACAGGTGGAGAAAGATATAGAAAAAGAGTTGAAAAAGAAAAGGTGAAAGATGAGGTGCAAGCAGAGAAGACGGACTGAGCCAGGTAGGCCGACTCTTCTCCTGCCCGTGGCGTTTCATATTGATCTCCGCCAAAAYAAACACGAAGTGCCTCTTTTCACACAGGAAATAGTAAATGATGGAAAAAGAGAAGAGGGAAAATAAGAGTGCTGAAAAAAAGGACTGTTAAATACTTCTGTGGTCAGGTTTGCAGCACAGCTTGGAGCTGGATAAAACCCCGAGTCCCAGTCGTTGAACATAACACTTTGACACCRATGTGTCAAAGAACTGCTGGATTTTATGAGCTCACTTTACGGATCAGCAAATGCAAGACAAGAAAGGCTACAGTTTGCTTGTAAAAATGATTCATAAAGTAAAACACATCCGGGGACAGCTTATGAAACTAGTACAGTACTGCTAAAAAAAAGAAATAAAGGGGCTAACATTTCTTGAACGAGTGTATTCCACCCTTCGCTTCTAATACCAAAGTTTCAGACTCAAATCGTTTTATGATGAGAAATGACAGAGTTGTTGCTGTTTTTGTCAAACCTTAAGGGTAGCGTTGTGCAGAATCGCTGCAATAATGCAAGATGCCATGTTCATGGTATGTATTGTTAATGACTCTCAGCTACTACCACATGAAATTTTAGATTGACTGAGTTATAGCCTTTTTTGTTTTCTAATATTGATTAGCTGTTCCGGCAATCTTGATTTGAATCCAAAAGTTAATCTGTTGTAGAGATACATATAGTGATAAAATTCTGAAAGTTTAATTGGGGGGGTTATTATATAAAATTGACTATTTTGAGCTTTTTATCATGTTATAATCTCATTCCCTCATCTAAAACAKACCCAGAGGGTTGCGTTGACTCAGACCTACATGTTTGAGAAATCCTTGACTCTCCTGTGGTAGCCACATGGCACTGCCTAAACGCTTGCTGGTMCAAAGCACCGCCTATTTGTACCTAGCTCCTCCCTGGAGCTCAGTCCCCAGCTGTGTTCTCACCCCACAGAGCATCCCTCCCCCGCGCTGCTTTGCCAGACTAGTAGCAGGAGAAATACTTCTTTACAAATCACTATGATTTCATTTCAAAACRTATCTTAAAAACGGTGGCTGTTCATGATTTCATTGCTAAACATAACTTCACAATTATCCATATCTACAGTTTTTTCACAAAAGGTAGCTTCACATTGATGTAGATGTATGAGAGAATGAGATATATTACGAAGYTTAAATGTCTTATAAGAGYCTCTGTACTCACTCTGGTTCTYCAGAAACCGTACAATGTGGGATCATTCGAGTAAAGTTCAACTATATCCTGAGCTGCCATTTTCCAAAACCAATATAATAAAATGTTGCTTCTTTTTTTATATTACAACAAAATACAATTTTCCTACAAAAGGTTGTAAACAGCATGAAGCGTTGCTGTGAAGATGTGCTGAAGTGGGAGTGTCTTAAACGGTAGGAGGTTCTTAAAGAGATGGAGGCCAATTTCAAGGCGTTTAGATAGACTATGATCAAATTTATTTTTGATAAATACAGCATTTTCATAACAACTGAAGGTAGCATGGTACCTCTATTATACCCCACCTTAAATAAAATACATCCCAGTTGTTCATGAGAGGTTTTGCTTACAAAAAAAAACACATGCAAAGACACAGTCAAAAACATCAGCGACCTTTACGTTTCAAAAACCTAATAAAAATTAGGTTATGTGTAGATAGAAAAGAACATTTCATCACTGTATGCATTTTGATTATGATCACTYAAAACAACACATTAAAGCAGTAACGTAAAGAAGTAGCAACAAGAAAATCTAATTTTGATCCAGAATACGGAAAACCTTTTTTGGAATATATTGAGACTAACTATAAAAAACAAAAGGATTCCACCGAGAAAAAAAGAGACAAGAGGTTTTCACTCCAACAGTGCAGGAATAATTAGAAAGTCTATAAAACTATTTGATATGCAGCAATTTGAAAAACTGCATTAATCACATCAGCGAATGAAAGACAAGCTAATCAGCGTGCATGAAAATGTGCTTAAGTTACATATAYTTATTCTGAACTTAGCATTCAAGTAGTGAAATCTGCCCTCCAGGCCGTCTGTCTACAACAAATCTGACCTTAACTGTGAACCCATCAGGTTTCTGGTGTCAGGGCATACGAGTGCAGGCAGCTACAATTCAATTAAAATGTTAACGTCTCTCAGCAGCGGTGCTCAGAGAGTCGTGTCAGTGTAGTTTCTTTACTATGAGACCAYATCAGTGTGTTGTCGTTTTTTTCATCCTCTCTTTGTGGGTGGTTTGCACCATGTGGAAAGAAAAATCGCTTTGTTTTCAGTGGAAATATAACAGGATTTTAAAAAAAATGTCACCAAAGCCCCCTTTCATCTGGAACTGGTTACACGTGCCAGGTCGGAAGAATGGTCTCCCAGTCAAGCTGTGAACCCAGAAAACACCATCTTAAACTAAATCCTGATGATACTTTCCCACACAATGAAGATGAGTTTTAACGCCATCTTACAGCAAACTTCCTGTAACAAACTGAACTCACATAGTTGAGTCAAAGGAGTAACCGGAGATTATTTCCCCTCTCAGAAAACACAGCAAGACGTTTAGAACTGAACTGTCATTTTGACGGGGTTTCGGTTTCAGTCTATTTCTAAAGAAAACAGGTGTGAGCTCGTGTTAGGGAATTAAAAAGGGTGAATGAATCTTGCTCTTGTAATTTTATTTACTTTCTAAAAGAAATCTGTGGATGTACAGAAGCCAGAAAAAGACACTTTTCTTTCCACATTGTATTTCTGAAATGTTGCCATTTGTTTTCTCAAGGTAAAACCAGCTCAGTCAATCCTTGGTAGAAAGCTCTGTAACAATGTAACAATGTTCGTCATAAAATGCATAAATGCTTAGTTTTAAATAAAAWGTTCATTTTTTTTCACACTAAGTTATTTAGTTAGTTAAGAAAAASCTCCTAAATGTGACTGGCTTGAATCCAAAAGCTAAAAGGAGTCTCTGGCTTTTTACATTTTTGTTCATAAAATAAATTATAGTAATGTTACTGGTGTGATTTCAAAGGATAAGTCCCCTAAAACAACAACAATTAAAATTCTAAATAATAATAATAATAATAATAATAAT